TTTTTTCCTTTTAATATAGGTCAAAGGCTATTTGTCCAATACCATTGTGTAACCCGACTGTTTGGCCAAATTTCCCTGAATGTAGTGTTATTTTTGTTTTGTGTTTTTTTGAATTTTGTCTCTAGTTAGAATTCAACTTTCTACTGGATTCTTGATTTTATATTAGTCCCCCATGCATGTTTTTATGTTATCATAATCTCTCCGAAAACACTTAGAGTTGGTTTGACTGTCTTAACTATGGCAGAATATTTTTAGATGTTAATGAACAAATGGTACTTCTATTTAAGGGTGGGCGCGTGTCGGTTCGGTTCGATTTTTTTCGATTCCAGAAATTTTCGGGTATTTAATAAATGGAACCGTTGGTTCCAAATATAATTTTGGAACCATTCGGATTGGGTTCGGTTCTGTTCGGTTCCGTACTATAATTAAATTTTTTAACATTTAAAATAATACTATATAAATACACCTGAAAATATATACTAATATTAATAACAAAAAGTAGATACAAATACCAAGTTTAATATTAACTTTTACAAATTAACGTAATCTAATTTAATAACATATAAATAATAAGTTGTCAAATGCAAATACCAAAAAGTAAATATTAATAATAAAATTTCGATGATTCATATCAATAATTCATTTGCTTTAAACCTTCAAGTCTATATAAAAATGAAATATAAATTAGAAGTCATAAAGATAAAATATTTTAAAGTATTGATAATACTTACCAACTATTTAATGTAATCATCAGTTGCTTGATTTTCCATGCTAACTACTAAGAAATTATATAAGAAAAAATTGAAAAAAATACAACTAACAAACATCAATAAACTCTAAATTGTTCAACTAATAAGATTTAATAAGAAAAAATTTATTACTTTGTTTAGAAAAAAATAAAAGACATCGATTTATCCAATATAAAAAAAAAAATCGGTTCTTCGGCTCTTGGTCTAGAACTGAAAACCGAACCAAACCATTTGGTTCTCGATTCGGATACCCGTTCGAGTATTTCATTTAAAAAAACCCGGTCAGTTCGGTTCGGACATTTTGCCCAACCCTTCTTCTATTTATTGACAATATCGTTCGCTTCGTCCAAGCAGGATCCGAAGTATCAACCTTATTGGATATAATGTCCTCATTGTCGGTTATGAATCTACCTTGATTACTAGAATGGGTACTTTACAAGAAAGTAGGGTTAATTATTTGAATGATCACTAAACTTTGTCAAATATTACTATTTAATAACTTTATTTAAAAATATATCTTAATGGTCACTAAATTATGCCAAGTGTTATCACTTAATACTGAACTATGCATCATGTTACCCATCAATCATTCAAGTTAACGTCATTTGTTGAACCTAACGGAATTTCCCACTTAAGTGATGGATGAGTAATATTGTGTATAGTTCAGTGACCATTTAGATACATTTTTAATTTTAGTTATGAAATAGTAACACTTAACAAAGTTTAGTAACCATTAAAATACATTTTTAAATTCAGTTATTAAGTAGTAGCACTTGACAAAGTTCAAAGAACATTGAGATGCATTTTTAAATTCAATTATTAAATCCTTCAAATTGACTTCCATGAAAAAAGAAATAAAAAAAAATGAAGGAAAAAAGGAGGAAACAAGAAATTATAGACCTATAAATCGAAGAAAAATAGAACTTTTGTCGATGTCCATTTTGAAATAAATGTATGACATTAGTTTTCAACTAAAAGATTTGCTGCCCAAATGAAGGATATACGATGATAGATTGGCTCTGAATAATTTGCTAAGTCATTAAATCGCTGACTAGCATATCCCCTTCATTGACAACTACCGCTCCATTCACTTGAGTTACCGAATTGTTCAGTTCATTGGCCATTTTATATTGTTGTTTTGGTCTTTTATTGTTGTACTTTTTTGCATACGGTTAAAAGTATATTCGATTTTCAGATCAATCGGTATTAGTTCACTGTATCCTAAACTTCACATAGGAAGCCTGAAAGAGAGACGTTAAGAACACTGAAATAAATTGACATGAAAAAATTAAATATAAGTACAAAAATGTTTAAATTAGTGCCAAGGTAATCGATATCGATTTGAGTTTCTTCTTTTTTTTCCCTTCATTTTCTTAGTTTCTTCTTTCACAAAGGTCAATTTGAGGGAAAAAGAAATTGTTACTACCTAATAGCTTAAAAATATATCACAATGGTCCCTAAACTATGCCAAGTGTTATTTTTTAATAACTGAATTTAAAAACGTATCTCAATAGTTACTGAACTATGCATCGTGTTACCTATTCATCACTCAAGTCGACATTGTTTGTTAAACTTAAATGATTTTCTTACTTGAGTAATTGATAGGTAACACAGTGCATAGTTCAATGATCATATAGATACATTTTTAAGTTTAATTGTAAAGTAGTAACACTTGGCAAAGTTCAATAATCATTGAGATATATTTTTAAGTTCAGTTATTAACTAGTAACACTTGAAAAAATTAAGCCCCTATTTGTCTACCATTTTTCAAAAAATTGTTTTCTACAGTAATCAATCTCTACCTCGCATTCAAATAATAAAATATTCTACACATAAACCGATAAAGTTTCTTTCAATTTCAACTATACATTTTCCAAAAAATACTATTCATTACACCATTTTCTTCTCAATAATGGTTGACAAACAGGCACTAAGTGACTACTAAGATAATTAACCCAAATAAAGTAAAATTGAGTACATTGGTTATATCACTCTTTTCTTTTAGGTCCTGTTTGATTGGCACTATTTTCCAGGGAACTAGAAAAATATTTTCCACTTTTCACTTTTTTGGTTGTTTGATAGGCGAAATTTTCCAGGAAAAATATTTTCAGCTTTTAGCCCACACGTGTGCATTTTCCAACTTTTTGATGAAAATTTTTTAAAAAATTTTCCACGCTGGCTGGAAAAAAATCTTTTTTTTTTTTTTTACAATGAAAACAAATGTCATAACCAATGGCTAAAAAAAAAAATTCACTTTAATGGACAATTTCTATATAAAACAAAATCAAACGAACACTAAATTTTGATTTAAAAAAATGATTTTTTAATAAACAATTTTTTTCCTTTTTTTTTTTTTTTACTTTTTCGTAATAGAAACAAATTTTATAACCAATTGTGGAAAAAAATATCACTTTAATGGACAATTTGCATGTAAAACAAAGTCAAAAGAATAGAAAATTTAAAAATTTTCCAGGTAGAAAATTATATCAATCAAACACACTTGAAATCATTTTCCCTACAAAATATTTTCAGGCAAATCTTTTCTTTATAAAACATTTTTTTTTCTACTCATTTTTTACCCTTGCAATCAAATGCACTCTTGCAATCAAACGCACTCTTACGTTTTTTATAAAGCAATCAAGGGCACTGACGGACCCACATGGGGTCATGTGGGTCAAGTGATTACACAAAAAAAATTTGAATTTTGATTTATTTTTTTTTCCTTCAAAAATTCAATAGATGGCTGGCAGCATCCTGTGTATTTGTGTGTGTGTTTTGTTTCCAACTTTGAGTTTGAGTTGTACCAATTCTGTAAAAAATTTCGTTACTTGTAGACTAACTCTTTATCCATTATCATGTTTAAAGATTACAGTTCACTCGTTCTTCAATAAAAAAAAAAATCCTCCTCCAATCTCAAATAAACCCTCATGCAATCTCCAATTTCAATCTCTATTCTTCAATCAGGTATGGAATTTTTATGTTTGAAATTAAAGATTCTAATGTTTATGTTTGATTTTCTCCTCCTTTTCACTCTAATCTATTTCTCATCATTGGGATTTTTATTGTAATTGTCAATGTAATTGGATTTGGGGCTTGTGTTACCTGGTGTTGAGTGAGAGTAGGTGAAGTATGTAATTTATAGTCTGTACTGCACAATTATAAAATGCACTTGTGGCATCTGGCAAGGCTAGAAGAAGATGGTCGAGTATGAATTACTGAAGCTACAGTCCTTGGAGCGCCTGAGTTCCTCTCGAGTGTCCTCAAGGCGCCTGATTTCGCTCAAGCGGTATTCTGGGCTAAAAAATTCTTACTTCCATTCTTTCAAAAAGAAAAATTCATGGATGCAAATAGTACAACAAATGGGCTCTTATTTTCATTAATGTCATGTTTATTTTTTAAAAAAAATTCATTTTAATTTTTGACCCCGTAGTACAAAAAGTCTGATTTCGCCCTTCATCAAGGGATGCTCAAAGGACAATAGATGAGAAAAGACATAGTATCTACAAAATTGATCTGCTTATTCTTTTTCACCTGGCTTAGGAGCACTTTAAGACGTGCCCCAGCAGGACCATGATTATACAAGTAATTGTTGGAGCCAGGAAGCATTTTGGAATCTATTGAATATTACTCTAAGATGGTACGGTCTAGAATATTTTATACATGAATTCGATAATAGATAAATGACATTAGATTTGTGAATTTTTTTTACCAGAATCACATGAATCCTTAGATAGAATGAGATTCCACCTGGACCCGATGAAAAAAATGGGACCACTTCTTGCTTTCTTTCGTCACATGTCTACCACTCTTATTTACAGGGCAATTAATCAGGTTAATTAACATTTTAACTAATCGATGACATGACGATAAATTGGACAGGATTTTGCTGTTTTCTCTATGCTAGTGAAGCAGTTACATTCAACACAATGATGAGATTCTATGAGGACCTTAAATGTTATGAACAGGTTGAGTTATTGATCTTAAAAATGATAAGAGGGAAACATATCATTAGATGTCGAGTCCTATCTTATTTGGTTGTCGTGTTGTCAGTATCTGAAAAAGTATTGAAACTCGCGCAGATGGTCGCCACTGTCTATCCTTACGTCATCTCCACAATGGCTATTAGGTGCAGTTAGTGAGGGCAGCTCTCAAGACTGTTTGAAGGAAATTGAGAGTAGTATCTCGAATGAGGGAATATGAATATACAAATCTCATTGATCTCTACTGTAGACTTGGTAACAGAAGAGAGGTTCATCGAGTTGGGGAGCCTACTATTATGAGGGCTACACAGCCCTCACTTTTATAATTTCTAGTCTGGTTACATTGAAGGAAATTCAGATAAGATTCAGAGCTTTGGGTCTGGACTCGTAAGAAAATTTCACAGCTACCATGATGAACAATGCTCATATTGTCTGTACTTCTGTGTTGAACCAGTTGAAGGAAAAGAGCATAAAACTCCCATTTTGGGAGCTTTGTTATGTGGTCTGGAAACCCGTGAGTAAAGAACGTTACAAACATGGTCTTGAGGTAAAACCCAAAAAAAAATAACCCTTCAAAATTTGAGTTTTCCACTAGTCTGATCTTGAATCTCTTGTTCGGCGTCTGTGACAATTTACCTGTGTTTTGATTGGGTTTCTTTCTTTGCATTTTTAACCCGCAGAATCTTTTGTTGCTTAGAAGAATATTGGCAAATAAGAAAAATAAATAATATAACGCACAAATTAAACGGACCGTCAAAACTTTTTCACTATATGAAAAATTGTTACAATCATATAGAATTTTTCACTCACCAAACCAATTCCAAAGTAAACCAAAGAAAAAAAACAGCAGCCAAATCTCCTTGCCTGTGTCTGTATGTGTATATATATATATTAATTCTAGCAAAGCATCAATCCTCTTCTTGGCCAGCCACTATTCTTGACTTTTCTTGCTTCTATGCGTGAATATATTATATATATATATCAACCACTACAACCACTGTTTGAAGAATTGAATAATATATATGTATATATATATAAAATACTCCAACAACTCTCCTAGCACCAAGGCAGGCAGCCGCTACGTTTTTTTTTCTTTTCTTCACGGACCACACAACCCTAAAATATGGAATAAACCACTATTTATGGGATTCATAATAACCTATTATTATTTGTAGTAGAAGTTCTCCAACTTTGACTTTTGAGGCAATTACCTAACAGCTTTGTTATGTGGTCTGGAAACCCGTGAGTAAAGAACGTTACAAACATGGTCTTGAGGTAAAACCCAAAAAAAAATAACCCTTCAAAATTTGAGTTTTCCACTAGTCTGATTTTGAATCTCTTGTTGGGCGTCTGTGACAATTTACCTGTGTTTTGATTGGGTTTCTTTATTTGCATTTATCAGATCGTGTGTTTCTTGGCACGGTCAGTGGTGCAATCTTATCTTGGTACTGAAGAAAAATGTTAATCGTCAAATGATAATCTCGTTTGAGTTTGATTGCACTGTAACAATACTAAGTTTCTTTAATTAAGCATTGCTGGAAGTAAATTTAGGCATTTAGATATCTTTGCGGTGTCATCCGGCTATCTCTTTTCATTTTTCACCATCCTCAGTGTACAAGATAAACCCCTCTATACCTTGCGGTAATGATTCCTCAGTCTCGTTCTGCCCTTAGTATTCATAAGCTACTTGTTTGCATGACATTTCTGTAGCTTAATAACAGTAGCATATTACAGTATGGTTATGGATAAAACCAAAATGTAAGATTAGAAAAATGAACACGGGCTTATTTAGCCTAAACAAGAGATAAATAAGATGAATATGAACTGATAAATAAGGTTGTTTGCTTCCTCTTCATTGTGAAGTTCTATAGATTCATAAACAATTTTTTCTTGCCTACGAAATAATGACCAAGAAATCCAAAAGTTCGGAATAGAATGGAGATTCGTGTAAGGCTTGACACAAACACCGCAAGATTTCAGAAAGTGCTGAAAATATGGAAAAGCCTTGTCGGTATAATATGCACTCTGATATTTCAAGGCATGTTAACTATACTGCATTCCTTAAACATAATATGGTCCCACCAATTCCGATTACAGTGTGCAAAAGAACTTTAGGCGGACAACCTTCCATAATACAATAAAGCCTAAAGTAGTTATTAATCGACTGCACATGGTAATCATTTTCTGGCCTTTGGAACCAGCACCAATGGATGTTCCATCTGCATAGTTACACCAAATTTCTCGTTCATGTTTAACTCTTTTGGATCATTTCCATGTGGAAGAGACCAGTCGAAAAAATAGATCAAAGAGGCAAGAATCATTGGAACAGTCTTTGCAGCCATGGGAAGGCCAGGGCAGATCCTCCTCCCTGCACTAAATGGTAAGAATTCAAAGTTGTTTCCTTTATAATCCAAAGACGAGGTAAGAAATCTCTCTGGTCTGAACTTAAGTGGCTCGTCCCATATAGATGAATCACGCCCAATAGCCCAAACATTGACGACTACTTGAGCATTTTTCGGTACTGTGTAATTCATTACTTGACAGGTCTCAATCGCTCTGTGAGGAAGCAGCAAAGGTGCAGGAGGATGGAGCCTTAGTGTTTCTTTAATGCATGCTTCAAGATAAGGTATCTGCAATAAATGGGAATTTTTGGGAAAATCTTCATTGATTTCAGTGTCAATCTCTCCACGAACATTCATCATGGCCTCGGGATTTTTCGACAGTTCTGCCATTGTCCATTCGACGGTCGAGGTAGTTGTGTCTGTGCCAGCAGAGAACAACTCCTGTCACACAGATATACAGTATTAGATTGCAAGCAACAGTATAATACACAACATTTTTAACTTTTTTCTTATTTAATCATGTGGTATACTGCTTAAGCCATCTAACTAAACGTGTCATAAATCTCATCCATGAAATTATATCTAATTTTATTTGTCTGAACAATCATTCACTGGACAGAAAACATTTGTATGTCTAATAATTTGTTAGTCTTATTTCGGCATGAGTTTGTAGACTGAAAAAACTGTGCGCACAAGAGAAGCATATGACATCGAAATCTTGCCGGCAGAGAATAATCAAAGAAGAAGATATAAGAATCGTGCTCCCCTTGAAGTTGGAGAAAATTCAAGTATTGTACAATTCTGATTTTAATCTATTGAACGATTGGCAAGATTTCTAAGTATTAGTTCTGATTTCAGTCTACTGATACAGATAAATACAAAGTACTTAAATTACACAACAGAGCGAGTCTTCTGAATCAGCTGATCCGTCGAATAATGATGTAATTATATGGCTTTTTACAGAGTACAGAATTTTGTTCTTGGATGGCTCATTTCTTTCTTTCATAAACGGTGGATGTTGAGAGTTTATGCCAATGCACGAGAAAACTCCTAACAACCTAGTACATAGAACTGTAATCCAAGATTATAAATTGGTCCTGAACTGCTGTCCACATTCAAAATTTTCATAAATAGGTGGCGGTGAAACTTGAACCATTGCTCTAACACCAATGTTGAACTACTTTGTCTAAAAGCTAAAATTGTTGAGAGGAGACAAACTAAATTTGTATGTGTGTTTTGTAGGGGGAAGGGGAGGAGGAGGATTAGGCAAGGATGGGACAGAGAGCTGACCGTAAACAGCTGCTTGATCCGATTGTTGGAAAAACCATTGTCGAGAAGGGCGTCCAAGAAATCTTGTTTCGTCAAAGAATTATTCCTTTCTTTTCGCCTTTCTTCAATGATTGGTTCCCACACTGAAGATAATTTTGCCATCAGAACAGCCGACTTCCTTCGAATTCCTTGAATATCTAGCTTGCTGAGAAATGGATAGAAATCGGATAAATTAGGAGCAGCAGCCACCTCCATAGCCGCCCTTATAATGCCTTTCAACCCTCGATCCGAGTTCTTTTCCTCCAATCCAATAAAGTCTCTTGACATCATTGAATTCCCCAAAACATTAAACACAGTTGCAAAAACTAGTTCAGCAATTTTCACCTCCTCACCTTCCTTTGACACCATAAAATTCATTAGGCCAGTTATACACTTCTCTCGCAATCCTGCTTGAGACTCTAAAGCTTTGTTAGAGAAAAGTTCAGAACGACATAATGTACGTAAAAACTTCCAATTATCACTGCAATCTTCGGTCCATCCAAGCGATGAATGATTAAGTTCTTCCTTTGTAGCTGGAAGAGCCTTAGGAACATATCGGCCTGAAAAAATCCGATCCTTTGACTTTAGGATTTCTGTAGCAGCTTCTGGTGATGATCCAACAATCATACACTGAGTTCCTAGTTTTAGAGACATTATAGGACCATGGATTTTGGCCAAGTTTGTTAGACAAACATGAGGCATTAGTCCTATGTGTGGAATGTTGCCTAAAATTGGCCATGGATTTGGCCCTGGTGGGAGTTTTGGGCTATTTTTAGACGCAAAACAAGATTTTAAGTTCTTGATTATGAATATAAGTATAGGCAAAAAGAGGGCTAGAAGAAGAAAACAAGTCTCTTTTCCTTCAATAAACTGAGCCATGAGGCTTGAACTTTGGGGTGGGTGATGTTATGTTTGCAGGAAATCATATGCATTTTGGGGTTGGGGTGGGAGGTTTTATGTAAAATTAAGTTGACTTTGTTTCTTATGGTTTGTTCATATTTGCAAGGAATCAACTAAACTTCTGCAGGCTGATTATTTTGGAAAACTTGTAAAAGTTCAGAGGAAAAATCAAATTATGTGACGTATAATAATAATGATAATTAAGTATTATACTTAATATAAAACTTCTGTATGAGTAGGGATTACATAATTATGCGATAGTGGAAAGAAAAAGAAAGTGACAAATGCAATGACAACAAATTAAGCCCCTATTTGAGTCACAACAAGCATATAACAAAAAAGTATGTTATTTTAAATTCTTCAAGAAACGACAACTTTACATGGATTCATGAATTTCTAAATTCTCAACGGACATGTCTCCAAGTCTTTCGAGTTAAGAGTTAGAAAAGGTTTGCTGGACATTTGGTGCACAGAATACACTTCAAGAAACATTCCAGGGTATTGAGGGGGAAAAAAAGGGTCGGCTAGAACATACAGTTTTAAAGAAAAAGTAGTTAAAATTTTGTGACTCTGAGTCACTTTGCCCACAATTAGACTTTATTGAAAGAGCATATCGAGTCGAGTGCACGGCATAATATACATAGAATTCCCAATACCATGAAAGAGGAAGCCCGTCTCGTATTCTCTTCCTGAGAAGTCTTAGATGATTGATTCTTAGGTATATAAGACATATAAAGCATACAATAAGGTAAAACCAAAATAAAAGGTCTTAGAAACATGAACAAGATCTTACTAACGTGAAGATGATAAATGAAGACGTTTACTTCCTCTTCTTCTTGAGTTCCATTGATCCACAAAATCGTTTTCTTGCCCCCAAAAAATTTTAACCAAGAAATCAAAGCAGGCTTGTTGGAATAATATGTCTGTTTTGAACTTGTTGACCTAAAAGTTTAAATTGTTAGATAAGACCAAACATACATATCAGCAATCAGCATGCCCCCTAGGCATGTTTATTTATTTTCCATCAAAGCCTTACACGTTCACGATTTCATTTAAATAGATGGTAATGAAACCTAAAAGACGAGAATTGAACCAGTTATATCAAAAGCTTAAAATTTTATATAGAGTCAAATTTATATCATTTAATTATTGTCTTCAGCAATCTATAATATAATATTTCAGGGCACGTTACAATACTGCATTCCTTAAACGTGATATTGTCCCACCAATTCCGATAATTGCGTGCAGAAGAATTTTAGGCGAATAGCTTTCCAGAATACAGTAAGGCCTAAAGTAGTTCTTATTAATCGACTGCTCGTGGTAATCATTTTCTGGCCTTCGGAACCATTACCAATGGATTTTCCATCTGTATAGTTAAACCAAATTTCTCATTCATGTTTAGCTCTTTTGGATCGTTTCCATGTGGAAGAGACCACTCGAAAAAATAGATCAAAGAGGCAAGAATCAAGGGAACAATCTTGGTAGCCATGGGAAGGCCAGGACACATCCTCCTTCCTGCGCCAAATGGTAAGAATTCAAAGTCGTTTCCTTTAAAATCCAAACTTGAGGTAAGAAATCTCTCTGGTTTGAACTCAAGTGGTTTGTCCCATACAGATGGATCGCGCCCAATAGCCCAAGCGTTTACGACTACTTGAGTATTTTTCGGTACTGTGTAATTCATTACTTGGCAGGTTTCAATAGCCTTGTGAGGAAGCAGGAAAGGCGCAGGAGAATGCAGCCTCAGTGTTTCTTTAGTACACGCTTCAAGATATGGTAGTTGCATCAAATGGGAATTATTCGGGAAATCTTTATTGATTTCAGTGTCAATCTCACGAAGGACATTCTTCATGGCTTCAGGATTTTTCAATAGTTCTGCCATTGTCCATTCAACCGTCGAGGTAGTTGTGTCTGTGCCAGCAGTGAATAACTCCTGTAACACAGTAAGTGGACAGTTTCGTGTTAGAACTGTCCTTTTGGTGACAAAAAAAACTTTGCATATATAATATTAGATCGAAATAAACCTTTTTAAGTTTTTTTTCCTTATTGCATAATTCACATTACATAACAAAACGAGTTTAACACAACTTAAAAACTATTGAAGAAGGGACAAACTTACTTCTTGTGTGCACGGGTGGGGGGTGGCATTAGGCAAGGATGAGACAGAAAGCTTACCAAAAACAACTGGTTGATCCGATTACAAGAAAAACCGTTGTCGAGAAGGGTGTCCAAGAAATCTTGACTTGTCGAAGACTTATTCCTCCCGTTTCGTCTTTCTTCAAGGATTGCTTCCCACACAGCACGAATTTTCACAATCAAAACAGCCAACTTCCTGCGAATACCTTGAAGATCTAGCTTGCTGAGAATTGGATAGAAATCAGATAAATTTGGAGCAGCTAATACCTCCATATAAGCCCTTATGATGCCTTTCATCCCTCCATCCGCGTTCTTTTCCTCGAATCCAATAAAGTCTCTCGACATCATAGAATTCCCCAAAATATTGAACACAGTTGCAAAAACTAGTTCAGCAATTTTGACCTCCTCACCTTCCTTTGATCCCACAAAATTGATAAGGTTAGTTATACTTTTCTCTCGCAATCTAGCTTGAGACTCTAAAGCCTTGTTCGAGAAAAGTTCAGCACGACATAATGTACGTAAAGACTTCCAATTATCATTGCAATCTGCCCATCCAAGGGACAAATGATTAAGTTCTTCCTTTGTAGCTGGAAGAGCCTTTGGAATACATCGGCTTGAAAAATTCCGGTCCTTCGACTTTAGGATTTCTTTTGCAGCTTCTGCTGATGATCCAACAATCATACACTGAGTTCCTAGTTTTAGAGACATTATAGGACCATAGATTTTGGCTAAGTTAGTTAGACTAACATGAGGCATATGTCCTATGTGTGGAATGTTGCCTAAAATTGGCCATGGATTTGGCCCTGGTGGAAGTTTTGGGCTGTTTCTTGAGACGAAATAAGATCTTAAGTTCTTGATTATGATAAAAAGTATAGGCAAGAAGAGGGCTGGAAGAAGAAAATAAGTCTCTTTGGTTTCAAGAAATTTAGCCATGAGACTGGAAGTTCCTTTGCCGGAATATCAAGTTTTTTTGCTGCAATCTTCCTTTGAAGGATGCATTTGTAGCGTCGAGGAAAACTTAGGCGGCTAGGACTTTCACTCTCAAATGGTTTGCGGTCAAGTTACGACACCGAAAATGATTTGGGTGGGGTGGAATGGAATAGGTGCGGTGGGGTGGGGTGGCGTGGGTGTTCTGTGTCTATCTTCTTAATCATTAATAATTTGACACTACTAAAGCTACTTTGACTTTGTAGTATTTTTTGTACATATTTGCTAGAAATCATCTAAACCTGCCGCATAAGTCGTACTCAAAACTTTTGCTTCTATGCCAAAGTGGGAGACATGACAACGAAAGTGCTATTTCTAGTGTCTCCCGTTTCGTCTTGTGTGCACCCGTTCATTTAACGCAGGGGCGGAGGGGAGGGGGGGTCCTGGACCCCCCCAATTTTTTGGAAAAAAAATTTTTTTTATTATTTTTTTAATTTTTTGGCCTCAAAATTTTTTTTTTAATCTCCTAATCCAGCCCATTCAACTGTTTGTGAAGTTGTATTGTTTATCAATTATGAGAGAAAAAGTTTCCTCAATTCTTAGGCTCAGTGATGGAGAAATATTTCAAAAAATTAGTAGTTTCTTTTATATGTTTCTTGATTTTTTTGTGAAGTCTTTGTACATTAATTTATGTTCATTTGTTTCATTTCTCCATCACAAAGTACCAACTTTCCTCATTTTAACAGATAATGTTTCAAAAAAAAATTTCGGGGGCAGCCCCGTGAGCCCCCGCCCCTTCAACTCCGGGACCCCCCTAATTCAAAAGGCTAGCTCCGCCCCTGATTTAACGTATAGTCCATATTTCATGTAAACTAAAAATTTATGTCAAAATTAACATTTATTTTTGTCCATACATTTCATGACAATCACAATTTTTATTAACTTTTCAACTATATATTTTTCATCATTTTTTATCAGATCTGGTAAAAATCACTAAACAGTGGCCTAGTAAATTAATGAAACGCCTACACAAGTAGGTGATAATTCTAGAATACTTCATGATCTATACACAGTAGAGGAAATATTAGAAGTACATGCAAACAACAAAGGCAAAAATAAGCCTTATTTTCGAGTCGATTATATCAATCTATTTTCGTCAACATTGCTAAAATAGAGATTTAAAGCAATTAAACTAGAAATTAATACAGATTTGTTAGTTTTAGCCTGCCGTCAACCCTTCATTGTGTTTGATTCATGAATATAAAACTTTTTTAAGCCTATAGGATATGAATCTACGATACATTTGAGATAAAAATAAGGAAAAAAATACATAACTAAAAAGATTTCAAAATAAACTTTCAAAAATAAAAAAACTTTTGAAAAAATTTCAAAAATCAAGTGACCACGTAATAACAATTTTGTGACAATTGTTTAAGTCAAGATTATAATAACACACAATTTATGGTCACAATCACATACTAATTACAAATGTTATAAGTTGAAGTCACAATGACAAATTATAGGTCAAAATTAGAAATTTAGCCGCATATCATACATTTGTTTATGTCACATATTATTGGTTATAAATTACTCATTTTATTAGTCATAATTATCCAAATAATTGTTTCTCCACTCCACCACTACTGACACTACCCAAATGACACAGCCATCTCACTATCACCACCACCGCTTTTGCACCAACCTCTACCATCAGCTCTGCCTAGAACCAACCACCACCACCACCACCACCACATCCACATCCACCTCCACCTTCAACCCGTTACCATTATCCTCCATCACGAATACACGGACCACCACAAATATAGCGCCGCCACCACCACCACTATCACCTCCACCATACCACCACAACATTGTACCGCCACCACCTCCTCCACTTGCACCTCATCTATAATCACCGAAGACTGCCAATTTGTAGCCTACGACGATCGCCACTTCGAGTCCCCAAATCACCACCAAATTTGTAGCCATTCGACGAACCAGAGGTGGGTGAATCGGAGACCTAGACACTTGGATTATAATGTGAATCAGAGAGAGCTTTGAGATAAGGTGCGAAATGAAGAACCTAGCGACAGTACTTCGAGCGAAATGAATGACCTAGCAGCGATGAGCACAGGTGATGCAAGTGAGATGGTGAGCACAGATCCACAGATAGAAAGGTGGTAGAAAGAATGTGGGGTGTCAACGAGCCAAGTCGAACCGAGCCAGAACCGAAGCTCCCAGTCCGAGCAAAAATGATTCGAGGCTTTTTTTGGCCCGACCGAGTCAAGCAAAAGCTCAACTAAAAAATTGATGCAAGACCCGATCTTTCGGCTCGGGCCGAGCCTGCTTGATTATTTTTTTCTATGACAAATCTAAATTTTTAAAAAAAAATTTTAAAACTTTTGCAATTTATACGTATTATAAATTAAATAAAAGATAAAACCATCCTCCTTTATTGGGGTTTCAGACCGGCTACAATCATCGTAAGTAGAGTTAAAATTGTACACGAATAAAATATTTCGTATACAATTTGAGTAAAGAAATTGGAGATTGATTGAAGTAAATTGATATAAAAATGGTAAAAATGTTTCGCTTATTTATAGCAAAAAAATGTATCTGTCTCAACAACATTTGAATTTCAAATTCAAATTTTGAAAAATTGAGAAATTTAAGTTATCTGCCTTATTAAAAGCAGTCTGCCTTTGATAAGGCAGCTATCTGCCTGCTAGTAGCAGTAATAGCTGTTTGCATTGCAGGCGGCTGTGTTTAATTTTATTTTTAATGAAGCTCGGCTCGACTCGTTCAAACAGAAAATGGCCAGTGACACGTGCTGGCTCGGGCTCGAGCAGATGTCCACGAGCCGTCCGAGATGTTTCGACATCCCTAATCACAATTTTGTTTGTACGTGGTGGGTGGGCGATCTAGCCAAACAACATTTTCGAAAAGAGAGCTTGTTTCATGAGGGCATTAGTTGAACTATAACTAATAAAACTACACCCTCCTGTCTTTCGAAATGCGGTGGCACAATATGGAATGGGGATGATTAAGCCTTTGATTTAATTGTTTTTTTTTTTTTTTTTTTGGGTATTTTCTCTTTATTTTATTGTTATTTAATTAAAAACTTAGGTAGTCTTTTTAGACATCATAAATTTTTTGTTGGACTTTTGAATTTAACATTACATACTTTTTAACGACTTCACAATTTAATAGCAATGAATGTCTTCAAATTTGTTCAATTTTGCATTTATGTCCTCATTTATTATTTGTCATATTTTTATCATTAGTCTTCTGTCATATGCATAGGTAGGGACGTTCTGCACCAAAAAATCAAACGTCGGGACGTTTTCCACACAACCCGTCATAGGTAGGGACATTTTGCGCCAATAACCCGTTATTTTTGTCCATACATTTCATGACAATCACAATTTTTATTAACTTTTCAACTATATATTTCATCATTTTTTATCAAATCTGGTAAAAATCTGATATTTAATACACTAAACAGTGGCCTAGTAAATTAATGAAACGCCTACACAAGTAGGTGATAATTCTAGAATACTTCATGATCTATACACAATAGAGGAAATATTGGAAGTACATGCAAACAACAAAGGCAAAAATAAGCCATATTTTCGAGTCGATTATATCAATCTATTTTCGTCAACATATTTTGTTCATTGCTAAAATAGTGATTTAAAGCAATTAAAATAGAAATTAATACAGATTTGTTAGTTTTAGCCTACTGTCAACCCTTCATCGTGTTTGATTCATGAATATAAAACTTTTTAAAGCCTATAGGATATGAATCTACGATACATTTGAGATAAAAATAAGGAAAAAAAATACATAACTACAAAGATTTCAAAATACACTTTCAAAAATAAAAACACTTTTGAAAAAATTTCAAAAATCAAGTGACCACGTAATAACAATTTTGTGACAATTGTTTAAGTCAAGATTATAATAACACACAATTTATGATCACAATCACATACTAATTACAAATGTTATAAATTGAAGTCACAATGACAAATTATAGGTCAAAATTAGAAATTTAGCCGCATATCATACATTTGTTTAGGTCACATATTATTGGTTATAAATTACTCATTTTATTAGTCATAATTATCCAAATAATTGTTTCTCCACTCCACCACTACTGACGCTACCCAAATGACACAGCCATCTCACTATCACCACCACCCCTTGCACCAACCTCTACCATTAGCTCTGCCTAGAACCAACCACCACCACCACCTTCAACCCGTTACCATTATCCTCCATCACAAATACACAGACCACCACAAATATAGCGCCGCCACCACCACCACTATCACCTCCACCATACCACCACAACATTGTACCGCCACCACCTCCTCCACTTGCACCTCATCTATAATCACCGAAGACTGCCAATTTGTAGCCTACAACGATCGCCACTTCGAGTCCCCAAATCACCACCAGATTTGTAGCCATTCGATGAACCAGAGGTGGGTGAATCGGAGACCTAGACACTTGGATTATAATGTGAATCAGAGAGAGCTTTGAGATAAGGTGCGAAATGAAGAACCTAGCGACAGTACTTCGAGCGGAATGAATGACCTAGCAGCGATGACCATAGGAGGTGCAAGTGAGATGGTGAGCACAGATCTTGTGTGCCGACCCACTAGTAGTTGAGAGATGGGAAGGCGGTGGTTACTTTATCATGACGGTGGTCAAAGTCGGGGAGTGTCAGCCAGAGATTGAGCGGTGGATATAAAAGAATAGATAGAAAGGTGGTAGAAAGAATATGGGGGTGTCAACGAGCCAAGTCGAGTCGAGCCAGAACCGAAGCTCCCAGTCCGAGCAAAAATGATTCGGGGCTTTTTTTGGCCCGACCGAGCCAAGCAAAAGCTCGACTAAAAAATTGATGCTAGACCCGATCTTTCGGCTTGGGCCTAGCGGGCCGAGCCTGCTTGATTATTTTTTTCTGTGACAAATCTAATTTTTTTAAAAAAAATTAAAAC